CCGATACGTAGTGACTTGTGGAACAGTGGTTCGTCAATATAGACTAGCTCTACGTCTTCCCCCGGTTCAGCTCGGTCATGTCGACTTTTTTCTTTAAACAAGGCTCTGGGATCCAGCTCGTCTTCTTCTAGGAGGGGTTCTTTTTCCAGGTCGGCGTCCTCGGTCCTCGGTTAAAGGATCCGAGGTGGAAGGCTCACCGACGTGGCCGCTCGGTTCTTCGGTCGTCGTATCGTTTGGGTGATGATGTTGTGGGGAGGTTTCATGATTGCTCGTTGAAGCTGAGTGAATTCCCTGAGAAGGGATGAGCGTTACAAGTTGTCGAGCTTCCCTTTGGTCTCCGAAGTGGGTTCCTTCTCCTCGGGTCGTTGGAAACTTTAATGCGTAATGGAAGATGGAGACTGCGGCACGAAGTTTGTACAACGCCGTTCTACCGATGATGGCGTTGTATTCGTTGTTTATATCCATAACTTTAAAAGTCTCCATAACAAGTTTGGTGACATTCTCCGAGGTACCAAATCGGACGGGCAAAGTGATTTCTCCAATGGGTTTGGAAATACTGCCATTGAACCCCTGGATTTGATCATTGCAAGGTCTGATCTCGGCGGGGTCGAGACCCATCTTATCAAAAGCTTTCAGCATCAAAATGCTTGAATAGGCCCCAGTGTCCACCATGACGCGATGAACTGGGATGCCACATATCGGAACGGTAATGACCAAGGCGTCAGAATGAGGATGGGCGAAGTGGTTCGCGTCCTCCATATTGAAAGTTATTGGGCAATTCCGATTATTGAGAACATCTCTCAAATCGGTGGTGTAAACCTGTTTACCGGAGTTGTAGGCTTGTCGGGCATACGCCTTAACTTGTCGGCGGGACAACGTGCTCCGAGAGTTGTTGGTATTGACCCGATGGACAGTGATTTGCATTGGTTCAGGAGATCTATCTCGCTTACGTCCTCGGGAAATTTTGTCAGGGGCAGAATCGGAGGTTTCCGAGGTGAACATAAATACTTCTTTATCTCCCTG